CCCCCTCCCCCCCTCCTCCTCCAAAGAAAAAGAGAGAAGGTTCCATCCATTCCCCTCGGAGGGAAGTGCTGTGTCTTTTTTTTTTTTTTTTGCTGTGTCTTGAATTGACAGCTCAGCTGTCCCCAGTCCAAGGAAGATCACACAAAACTTGTTGAGAACAACAGGAAACCTGCTGTTGCTCAGCTTCTCAATCCGTGGACGAGGCTGAGCTGTTCCACCTTTTTTTTTTTCTTCTTCAGTTTTCTGCGGGTGCCCACGTTCTCCGTGAAAAGAGAAACACAGATGTGTGAATTCTTTTGACTGTGGATAAGTGAAACTTGAGGCCTGAAAGAAACGTGGAGCTCCGACTGACTGATGGTGGGGCTGGCATGCTGTCCATGTGCCTGACAAGTTTGTCTCTCACTTTCCAATGCAGCAGAGTAACGAATCTCTGAGTCCTGGACTGTGGCCACTGATGTGAGGGACGCTGGGCCCGGTTCCCAGCATATAATGAAAGGTTAAAAAAAAAAAAAAAAAAAAAGAGTCTGGATCAGTCTGTGCAGACAATCTGCACCCGTACGGCGGGATGGGGGGAAGTGGGGGAAATCTCAGCACAGTGTAAGAGTCACCCATAATAATTACTACGATGGTGTGCCATAATGCTTCCAGATGTATTATAGGATATTAAGTTATTAACATAACATTAGCACAACATCCATGTTGTGGAAACCACAAGGGAAAGTTCAAAGTGTTGTTTAAAACCACCACCACCTCCGAGCCTCTTTTTGCTGAGGTGGAAAGTAACTGCGCGCCAAGCTTTGCCGAAGCGCCAGCGCAACTTTTTTTTTTGTTTGTTTTGGATGATGCTGCCAGCCATTTTGGTCGGGTGGCGCCGGGCCTCCAAACCTATACTGCATTCTTAGGTGGTTTTGAGTTTGCCTGTGAAAGATACTGATGGTTTGAACCATGGTAACCGCGGACGCGGACACCAGATACTTCCGGACTAGTGTCTGGACCGGTCCGGACTGTCTGGTGATCCGGACACCACCGGACACCCGGACATCACCAGACACGGACAGTCCGGACCGCTGTCAGTGGGTACAACATGTCCGGACCGAAAAAAAAAAAAGAAA